CCTCTCATGCATTGTATGTATGAATATATATATATATATATATATATATATACACACAACATGTTTGAACAAAATGAATCCAAAGCAGGCTCAATTAACTGGAATCACAACACTATTGATGCATAAGTACACTGGGTATGGAAATAGTTTTTTCTGAAACTGGTCTGTATCTATCTTTGCCTTCTGTAATAATAATGTCAGCTGAGACACAACAACCACTTCCTGATAACTATGACACTTCAAAGTGCTGATGAAAGTATGCCAGACCTCTCGATGGTAAACCCTACTCTATGGGCGACATACAGAGACAAGGCTGGACTGATCAATGGTGAACCATACATACTTGTTAAAGCACATTGCAAAACCCACTCTCCCCTGAGAAGGAGAAAGGAATCATACCAGTGATGCACAATCACTTAAGGTATTAATGTGAAAACTTGCTCGTCTTATAACACTTCTTATAAGTTAATAGGTATAGCTAACCTTTCTAAGGGCTGCCAAAAAGACTGTTGAGGTTGAACAAGACAAAACTCAGCAAATTTTTTTTTTATGTAAACGTTATTGTAGAAATTTGAACACTAACCATCACAAAATGGATTTGAATAATTTGTTTGCATTGTGAATAAAGATAAAGGGTCTAAGGGCTGCCAAAAAGACTGTTGAGGTTGAACAAGACAAAACTCAGCAAATTTTTTTTTATGTAAACGTTATTGTAGAAATTTGAACACTAACCATCACAAAATGGATTTGAATAATTTGTTTGCATTGTGAATAAAGATAAAGGACTGGATACAAATTCTGACCTCTGTCAAAATTGAATCAAGGCATTTTGGACATTGCTGAAGTGCAATATATCAAATGACACATTTCTATCATTCTCTGGGACCTTTATTGAAGCTTCATTACATTTCTCTCAGTAAGGGTGATCACAAACATATTGCATAATGTATCTGAGAGCATACCACGTCTCCCTTGCAGTGGAAACGATCTGGTCGGCAGGCAGGAGGAATCCATATTTACCAGTGTCGCGCAACTCGAAAGCAAAAGAATATTTGATGCCACGTTGGTAAGCCCAGTCAACACTTGCACCACTAGCTGGTTCTGAAAAGAAACATGCATTTTGCAATACTGAGACCATTTTTTTTTTGCTTTTCATGCAAATTGACCTTTCAAATCAACACATTCTACCATAACAAACCGACGCAGAAACAAACTCATCAATATCTTCAATGGCCTGAGGGTGATTAAACTGTCACATTTTCATGTTTGAGTGAACTCTTCTGTTTAGGTACATATTAGTACTTTTTGAAAGGGTACCGCCAACTTTTGCACCATTTTGTCTGAGCGTGAATGTGCTTTACTAGTTTTCAAGATCTTGAATATTCGTCAGTAAGTATTGATAAAGAAAGCACATTGTTGTCTAATTAAGCATACTTATTATTTTGGTAAATAAATTTAAAACCAAAGTGGAAAATAGGCCGTAGCTATATAGCGTTTGAATGAGAAAAGATGAATGGATTATTTATGAATCATGATTATGATGATCATAAATCTTGCCGAATATGGTCCCTGAATGCAATTTGTACTAAAATGTATTCAGTGTAATGTAAACCAATGACAAAACCATACATAGTCTAGAACACAGACAAATAAAAATAAAAGTTCTTAACTAGCATCAATAGTATGAAGAACCTTTAACATCCATGGAACCTTTTCACTGGACAAAGGGATCTTTATAGTGAAGAATCCTAAAGATTTTTTAGAACTATAAAGATTGTTTAGATTATTAAAATCGCTAAAAATCATTCTCATTACTGCAAAACACAATTTTAGTAATCAATACTTTTTAAATGTGATATTCCATGTCTTGGTAAGTGGTTAAAAAAGATCCACTTCCACAATCCACTTACCAATAGTGTGGAAGATGCTTCCAACTTTATAAACGGTGCCATGCCAGGAATTGAGGGCTTTGCTTGCCTGTGAGGCCACATCATGCTAGAAAAAACACACAAAAAATACCACTGTGAGATCATAAAACAGACAAGATTCAGAAAGCCAAGGAGGTTTATGGGAGTAGATTTGCTTACCAGTTCAGTCTGGTCAGGAGCATCTGTGCCACTGTAGCCATACGGATACATTAAGAGCTGCATGTAAGAGTGGAGGGTCATGAAGGATTTGAAGTTGCCGTGGTTCATGATCAAATCTGCAATGTTTTTCACTTCAGTCTCAGATTGAGCAGAAGGACCGCGGTAGTCTTCAGTGCAGGGGTCATCGCTTGCTCCAGGACCTGGAGAAAATGTAGACACATTTAATAAAGCAAAGTAATTTAGATCTGTTGAAACAAGAGAAAATTACTATATGAATTTACCACCAAATTCAGCATCCCAGTTTCTGTTGAGGTCGACACCGTGGCATTTGGGGTTAGAGGTCACAGACCGGCTCTTACGCCAGAAACGGTAAAACTCCTAAAGTAATGTTAATTAACAATATATGCAATTACAAAAGCTTATAAAATGCTTCTAAATATTTATTTGTGCTTTATGCAAACCAGCAAATGGCTGCTTACATTGGGAGAGCGGTGAGTGAAGACATATCCATCAGGATTGGCCACAATCATCAAGTAAATATCCATTTTACTAAGGATACTGGGCACAGGGGCACGGTTTTCCTTAAAGTCTGTGGCAATCTACAGAGTCAAAAAGTTTAGAATGTTAAAAGGATGTTAAAAAAATGAAAATAATAATAAATAAAAAAATTTACATAAAAGTACATAAAAATAAAAAAATAAAATAAAAGATCTTGCTAAAACGTTCATTGCGGCTGCACATGAGCTGTCTTTCTGGAAATTTTTTAATTAAATAAATATTAAATAATAAAAGATCTTGTTACTGCACATACCATTAAAATAAAAAATTTAATTAAATTAAATCTTGCTAAAAATAATCTCTAAGCATCCATTTATTAATGGACCTTTTACCTGACAGTTGGCATCTTAAACAGATGATTGTTGAATTTAAAAAACATTTTTTTTAATGGAGCTCATGTATAATAGCAAGTAAACTACAAAAACTAAATGTGCTGGCAAATATCATATTTCCTGTCAGAAAAGAAAAATAAGAAAACAGCTCTGAATGTACTATGACAAACAGACTGAAACAAACACTAAAGCTATCATTCTTCACCAATCTCACTCACCTGGTCAGCAAGCCACACTGCAGTAGCATGAGAAATCCACTCCCTCGCATGGATTCCAGCATCAATCCAGATTGCAGGCCTTTTCTCTCCACCAGTGCTGAACTGGATGCATTGTACATATACAAAAAAATCAGGTAGTGATAGATATCAGTCTGTAATCTGAGTTTATAGGCATATGACCTGTTTACCTTCAAGACATACATGGGACGGTTCTCATAAGTGCTGCCAATATTCACTTTAGTGATCAATTTAGAGTGACTTGCAACAAGCGTGTCCATAAAATTGTAAATCTGAAAGGAATAAAAAGAAATTCAGATGCTTTGTTAGGTTATAAATATGACTGAACATGGATTTGTGCAAAAGTCAGAACATGTACTTACAGTCTCCAGGTCATGATAAGCAGCAAAGTTGAAGCGCCTGGTCTGACGTTCCACTTCTGCATTGCGAACCATTTCTTCTCTCTCTCTGACCAAAAGTTCCTGAGACACAGAAAAAGTTATGTATTACGATTACTTTACTGAAAAATCACAACTATTGGAATTTATAGGATCATAATCAATCGCTGATCTTCTTCTACAAATTGCGCAAAGGCTAATAATGTTATGTTGTGTATAGATTTCCATAAATAACTCACCTGCACATTGTTGATTATGACAGTGAAAGGGATGTTGTTTTTCTTGAGGAAGTCCTTGACAGCATACAGACTGGAGTGAGGCACACGGATGTCAACAGGTTGCTCAGTAGAGACGGCATGAGTCCAGAAATCCAGCTAGAGGATCGCATAATACATATTCCACAATCCGAGAGATTTCCATGTCAAATTGCATATATGTGATCAAATAAAAATAAAAACATGTAACTGCAGGCATTTAACAGATAGCCTACCCCAGAATCCACGTCCCTTTCCAGCTTTTTCAAAATCTGAATGTGGTTTTCAGATTCTGCATGGATTCGGAGAACTTGGTCTCTATTAAGAAAGAAAAAAGACATTTTAAACAAGAAACAAGGCTGATATACATTAATAAGTCATAAAAGAATAAAAAAGTATCTCTAATTACCCATTAAAGAGCACCTCGCAGTGAACTGCAGCCAAGAGCGCAAAGACTGCTAGATAGAGTGTCATGTTCTCCTGTTCTGGGAATGATCTCTACTGTAGGTCTCTGCGCTTATACACTCACAGACATATGTTGAGTTCTCAGTAATATTAGTGCTGATGCAGCTTAATGTGACTTTTGTCACCTGATGCAGCCAACTTTTGTATGTGTATCTGCTCCAGGTGTGCATTGCTTTGTGTTTCTCAGTGAAAAAAGAAGAAGAAGAGGGACAAAGAAAAGTTTCAACTCACATCAAATCCACTTTATAGCGTTTATAAATCAAGAGTGAAAGATACTAGTCTTCAGAGCTGCTCATGTCAAGGCCGAAGGTCAAGATGATCTGGGTATCCGCTAATTTACTTAGTCTCAAACTTGAATATATTGAGCATTACTTGGATTTTAATCAATTCTTTAAATGTGCAAACAATGACAATCAACTGCTAGCCTTTAAAAAGTCATTCTGAAATATATGTCTACAAAAGTAGGGTACTAGAAGACATAGCATGTGGTCCAACAGGGTTTACCATTGTGGAAATTACCTTTTATAGTAATATTTAGTCTTGGACGTTTAATAGGGTTAAATATGTTTTCTTACAGTTGTTCACAATTACAACTTTTTAAGAATTAATAACCTACTGCACACAGTCGTAAAGTCTGTTTGAAGTCAAAGCTCAAGAAACAGATAAATGGGCGGAGCCTTAACGCGGACGTGACGCTTCAAATCACGTGACCCCTTCATCCTTGTCAGCTGACGCTTGGCGGAACTGTAGTTTAGTAATATAAATAAAGTAGTGGATAGTTTAGTTTAGTAGTTCCAAATTTAGTCTTAAATATTTCCTTTGATAAATCGCTCTTAAGATCGCAGTCAGCGCCTTACAAACATCAGCCATGGCGCTCAGCGATGCCGCCGTACAGAAACAGGTGAGAAAACCAGAAGTTCATAAGCTAAGTTTAGAGTTGATTTAATTGACCATTATATTTCAGATCAGGTATTGTAAATTATTAAAATGTCTGTTGTAAGTCTCATTACACGAATAGCTGCATTTTTGAAGTCCCATGACTTTTATAACGAAACATTACAGGCACAAATCTGATGCGGTACGTTTAGGATACAAATTATATACTGTATATGTTTTATAAACCAATAATAATAACTAATAAAAAAATTTGGCATAATCTGAACTGATATTTAGATAATTGTCATAAACATTTTTTTAAGAATGTGAATGATTGTCTCATTACTTTTAAATCACGTTTTAAAACTCATCTTTTAAAATCAGCTTTAATCACAGGATTGCATTTTAATAACGCTGATGTTGTTTATTATATTTGTTATGAATTCTATATTGTTTGTAAGGTGTGCTTAAGTGTTTTGAAAGGCGTGTGTAAATAAAATGCATTATGTTATTATTTATTGTCTTGTACTTGTAGCTAGACATCTCTTTATATTCCATTCACTTTGAGGAGGACAAAGGCACCATCTCGAATCTAGATTGCGTAAATTAATATTGTGTGAGTGTTTAATGCTGTGTATTATGTAGCCAAAAGAGGAAATCTCTGTCCTTCAGTTGTCCAGCACACATCCATGGACTTTCCCAACAGCACTGATGAAACATTTTCAGTCTCATTTCCCCATCACTATCTACCCTCATCGCCTTTTATTATATTACATCATCTCAATGAAGGATCAGAGGGGCTAGGAAACTCTTACATTGTAATTTAACCTGGCTTTGCTCTTTTATTGACACCGATCTCCTTGCATCTCTCCAGATCAAACACATGATGGCCTTTATTGAGCAGGAAGCCAATGAGAAGGCAGAAGAAATAGATGCAAAGGTAAAGTATTAATGCAGTGATTAGCATAAGTGCATGAATATGGTCTGAATTTGTCTAGAGCAGGGTGCCCAAACTCGGTCCTGGAGGGCCGGTGTCCTGCAGAGTTTAGCTCCAACTTGCCTCAACACACCTGCCTTCAAGTTTCTAGTATGCCTAGTAAGAGCTTGATTAGCTGCTTCAGGTGTGTTTAATTGGGGTTGGAGCTAAACTCTTCAGGACACCGGCCCTCCTAGACCAGACCTCCCTGGTCTAGAGCATCATGTGTCTTGCGGCTTGCAGGCAGAAGAAGAGTTTAATATCGAAAAAGGACGACTGGTACAGACTCAGAGGTTGAAGATAATGGAGTACTATGAGAAGAAAGAGAAACAGATTGAACAACAGAAGAAAATGTGAGATTTGGGTTCTTTAAATGAGTAACATGAGACCTTTAGATTAGATTATTTAATAACCTCTCGCCTCCGTTCAAATCCACAGCCAAATGTCAAATTTGTTGAACCAGGCCAGACTGAAGGTACTCAAAGCCCGTGATGACATGATTAAGGTATGATGATTATGTCATTTTGACATTTCTATAGTTTATACTTTTATAGAATTGCAAGAAATCTCACCTTCGTCTTCCTCGTGTGATTCTTTGCAGGATCTCCTTAATGAAGCACGACAACGGATGGCCAACATTGCCAAAAACCCAAATGAGTACCCAACACTGCTGGAGGGGCTGGTGTTACAGGTCAGCTGATTTCTACTCGAAATAAATGCTGTTCTTTTTAACCTTTTATTCATCAAAGAATCTTAAAGTATCACAGGTTCCAAAAAATATTAAGCAGCATAACCGTTTCCAACATACTGTACAGCAGATAATAAATCAGCACATCAGAATGACTTCTGAAGACTGGAGTAATGATGCTGAAAATTCAGCTTTGCCACCACAGAAATAAATGACATTTTAAAATATATTAAAATAGAAAACCTTTCTTTTAAATTCGAATAATATTTCACAATATTACCGTTTTTTTCTTGTATTTATTACTTTTATGATTAATAACTATTTTATTACCTCTTCTTTTTGCCTTGGCAGGGATTTTATCAGCTGTTGGAGCCCAAGGTTATAGTTCGGTGCAGAAAAGAAGATGTAGCGATGGTGCAGGTGAGCTATATTTACCCTCAATCTGTTAACATCATATTCTGCAACATGCATATGAACTATACAAACCTTTTACATTTTTAAAGAGGTTGATATACCTGTTCATAATAGGCTGCTGTTAAGAAAAACATCCCCATCTACAAAGAGACAGTAAAGAGTAATATTGAAGTGCGCATCGACGAAAACAAATTCCTGCCCTCTGACATGTAAGATCACTTATATATTCAGTTTTGTTTAAAAAAAGGCTTATTTATACATAATTAGATGTGTTAATTGTTCATGCTTGGTATCCTCAGCTCAGGAGGTGTTGAAGTCTATAACGCCGATGGCAAAATCAAGGTATCCAACACACTTGAGAGCAGACTGGACCTTCTAGCGCAACAGGTAGAGAATCCAATCACATTGTAGAACAGGAAGAAACAGGATAAAAGCCGTTTGTTGTATTCAGGTCCTCATGTTCTTCGCTTTCCTGTTTTCACAGATGATGCCTGAGATCAGAGTGCAACTGTTTGGTGCCAACCAAAACCGCAAGTTTATGGACTAATGGTTTGTTACTAAATGTGCTTTAGTGGTTGTTTGGAGAACGGTGAAATTCAAGAGCCCTGATAAAGTGACAACAAGGTTTGGTGGAAGTTTTAAAAAAAATATATATTTTTTTAAGGTCACTGTGGATTTTCTGAAGTTTCTGTTGCAATTCAGGAAATTCAACTGATCATGTTTCAGCAATAATTGAAAAAAACCAAAAACAAGCCAAAGAAAGTGGTTTAAAATGAAAGGCTTATCATGTGTGCTTATGTTACCTTATACCTCTCCTTTGAGTGTTTATTTAGTTAGAAAATCATGTCATCTGTAATGAAAGTGGACGCCTGATATCTTATCTCAGCCTGTTTGAACAAAGCTTTAAGCACTCAGGAATTTACATTATTTTTGCTTTGAATGTCGTTAGCTAAGCCAGCAGCCTATCAGGTTTTCCCTGGAAAAGGGAAACCCTCATTTGATGTCTTAAAAAATATATGGATACCTCTGTGCTTGTGTTTTCATTTGTTGTACAACTGCATTATACTACAGAGAAATAAATCAAATATATTTTATTTATATTTTGAAGCATTTCTGTGCCCATTACAATATAAACAAAACATTGCTTGTTGTTACATCAAGTCAGAAATCTTGCAGAGGCTTAAAGATGCTACATATACCTCAAACATTAAAAACATGCTGCCCTCTTGTGGAATTCAAATACACGAGATGCAAATTAGCATCAATTGTGGTGCACAAACAATGTTTTGCATAATCAAATGACTCCAGACCATGTTTTCAAGAAACTTTCAAATACAAAAGCTCTTCAGTGATTTAATAAGCAGAGATGCCTATATCAGTCTTGCATATTTAATACAGATTGCTTGTTGCTCATTACAATTATTTAGTATAACATATGAATATGAAGCCTCTGAGATGTTTTTTTTTTCTCTCTCAGAAATCAAGTCTTGTCTTCCAGGAATATGCCACTACATGCGTTTAAAAATATCTCTTTCTTGGTATTATTAAAATACTGTATTTGAAACCGAAATTTCTTAAATTTTTCTGCTATTGTTTCTTTTTACAGAAGTACACTCAAATTGAAACCATTCAAGATCTCATTTCTCTATTTTTCACTGTACACTTTTCTACCCAATGTGAAAAAAAAACACCAGCAAAATCAGTTCTCTTCATAAGAAGCCACTGGTACTTATATTTTGTTATTTTTCAGTGAAAAACTTGAGTGGCAAAGATAAGGCTTTGTAGCATTTTAATTTATTGCACTCAAAAAAATCATTTAAAGAAGCATTCAAAAATATTAGGTCAACATTATATAACCTACAAGGAATTTTGTCCCGCAGAGGAACATATAATAGAAGGACAAGGCCTCCGCTGTAATGTCCAGCAGTCTCTTCACAAGTAGAGACAGATTTACTGAGAGACGAGAACTAAAGCAGCTGCCAGAATAGGTCAGCAAACACTTTTTTTGCTGTTTAAATGGTGGTAATCAGCAGTAGAAAGCCAAAACATAAATTTAGATGATACAGATACATCTCAACTTTGATTCAGGTCTCCTCTCTATGGAAGCCCGTTTTTGCCACAGAATAAAAAAAAATGTAAAAGGTAATTGCGACTTTTTATCTCACAATTGGGATTTTTTTCTTGCACTTCTGAGACAAACTCAAAATTGTGAGATTTAAACTCACAGAATTGTGAGATAAATTACCTATTTTAGTTTTTATTCGGTGGTGGGGGGGGAAAACTGAATTGCGAAATGTAAGCTCAGAATTCAGAGAAAAAAGTCCCAATTTTGAGATTTAAATTCAGAAGTTTGAGGAAAAAAGTCAGGATTAAGAGATATAAAATCAGAATTTTGAGCAAAAAAGTCAGAATTGTGAGATATAAACAGAACTGCAAGATGTAAACTCAGATTTGTGAGAAACAATCACAATTATCTTTTTTAATTTTTTCACTTGGTGGCGGAAACAAAAAACAACCGTGAGATATAAACTCAGAATTCAGAGGAAAACGTCAGAAGTGCAAGATATAAACTTATAATTGTTTTTGGAGAACGGTGAAATTCAAGAGCCCTGATAAAGTGACAACAAGGTTTGGTGGAAGTTTTAAAAAAAATATATATTTTTTTAAGGTCACTGTGGATTTTCTGAAGTTTCTGTTGCAATTCAGGAAATTCAACTGATCATGTTTCAGCAATAATTGGAAAAAAAAAAAAAACAAGCCAAAGAAAGTGGTTTAAAATGAAAGGCTTATCATGTGTGCTTATGTTACCTTATACCTCTCCTTTGAGTGTTTATTTAGTTAAGGAAGAAACAGGATAAAAGCCGTTTGTTGTATTCAGGTCCTCATGTTCTTCGCTTTCCTGTTTTCACAGATGATGCCTGAGATCAGAGTGCAACTGTTTGGTGCCAACCAAAACCGCAAGTTTATGGACTAATGGTTTGTTACTAAATGTGCTTTAGTGGTTGTTTGGAGAACGGTGAAATTCAAGAGCCCTGATAAAGTGACAACAAGGTTTGGTGGAAGTTAAAAAATTTTTTTTTTTTTTTTTAAGGTCACTGTGGATTTTCTGAAGTTTCTGTTGCAATTCAGGAAATTCAACTGATCATGTTTCAGCAATAATTGAAAAAAACCAAAAACAAGCCAAAGAAAGTGGTTTAAAATGAAAGGCTTATCATGTGTGCTTATGTTACCTTATCCCTCTCCTTTGGTAAACTCAGATTTGTGAGAAACAATCACAATTATCTTTTTTAATTTTTTCACTTGGTGGCGGAAACAAAAAACAACCGTGAGATATAAACTCAGAATTCAGAGGAAAACGTCAGAAGTGCAAGATATAAACTTATAATTGTTAGACATAAACTTGGAATTGCAAGAAAAAAGTAAGAATTGCGAGATGTTGCCTCACAGAATTATGAGATAAATTACCTTTTTTATTTTTTATTCGGTGGTGGGGGAAAAACTGAATTGCGAAATGTAAACTCAGAATTCAGAGAAAAAAGTCCCAATATAGAGATGTATAAACAGAATTCTATGGGAAAAAAAGCCAGAATTGAGATATAAATTCAGAATTGTGAGAAAAATTCAGAATTAAGAGATATTAACTCAGAATTCTAAGCAAAGAATTGTGAGATATAAACAAAATAAATGTTGTCAGAATTGTGAGCTATAAACAGAATTGTGAGAAACAATTTTTTATTTTTTCATTTGGTGGCAGAAACAAAAAACAGTCGTGAGATATAAACGTCAGAAGTGCAAGATATAAACTTATAATTGTGAGACATAAACTTGGATTTGCAAGAAAAAAAGTCAGAATTGCGAGATGTTGCCTCACAGAATTGTGAGATAATTAACCATTTTTTATTTGGTGGCGGGAAAAAGAAAACAGAATTGTGAGATGTAAACTCAAAATTCTGAGCACAATTCTGACTTTTCTTTCTTAGAATTGCAAGGGAAAAAAGTCTCAATCGTAAGATAAAAAGTTACAATTATCGTTGTTTTTTATTCCTTGGTGAAAATGGGCTTCAATACCTTTCTAAATACACATCGACCCTGTTCACAACCGATTATCACAAATCATGTTGGCTTAAAACTGATTGTAGCTATGGGCTTTAAAGACATAAAAACAATATTAATTGGACAAAAAACCCTGCCAGATTAGTCAGAACAGGACCCTGTCTTACCTAAAGAACCCTGCTTGTAGTTTTTAGGTACTTAAACATGGTTAGTGTGCAATATAGGCTTTTATGTTAGCGTTACACAACCCTCCTCTGTTCTCCCAAAGTGTCTGAACCTCCTTTGGTTGGGTATGTGAATTTCCCTCCATATTTACATCATCGCAAATAAAGTCGGGGAGCTTCTTTTATCATCATTTTATCTTCTTTTAGCCACGTCTTCCTTCATCTCTCATCTTCATCCCTTGGCCCACAAACAGTACTGTGTGTATGATGACTGAGGTAACGTCGCCTGCCGCTATCCCAGCAGCCCCAGCACATGCTCGCCGACACCCAGGAAATACACACCCTGAGCGATGCCAAAGAGCGGAGCGATGACCAAAGCTCGACACGTTGCTCCTTTAAGAAACGCAGATGGTCCTTCTCGTTTTAAAACGCGCCTGTGAAAAGATTGCCATATAAATATCATGATACATGAATATGGAAACTGTATAGTACCATATAAGAAGTCAATACATGCAAATATAAAGCTTACTGTACGCAGTCGATGATGCCTCTGTAGGAGTCCTCTCCTTCCCCCTTCTGTAAGGTCTGTAGACGGGTCTTTATAACTGAAAATTATAAATATTAATAGATACATTAATATTTTTTAAATATTTTTATGATTTTAAGATCTGGTTTCCCAAATGCAGGTTATAACAGAGCTGCACAGTAGTTAGTATGATTCATTTCCAAGAATAGTTTTTTTTTGCAAACAGGCAGCCCCAGAACATGCTCGCCGACACCCAGGAAATACACGCCCTGAGCGATGCCAAAGAGCGGAGCGATGACCAAAGCTCGACACGTTGCTCCTTTAAGAAACGCAGATGGTCCTTCTCGTTTTAAAACGCGCCTGTGAAAAGATTGCCATATAAATATCATGATACATGAATATGGAAACTGTATAGTACCATATAAGAAGTCAATACATGCAAATATAAAGCTTACTGTACGCAGTCGATGATGCCTCTGTAGGAGTCCTCTCCTTCCCCCTTCTGTAAGGTCTGTAGACGGGTCTTTATAACTGAAAATGATAAATATTAATAGATACATTAATATTTTTAAAATATTTTTATGATTTTAAGATCTGGTTTCCCAAATGCAGGTTATAACAGAGCTGCACAGTAGTTAGTATGATTCATTTCCAAGAATAGTTTTTTTCATTTCAAAGAAAAAAACCTATAAGAAGCAAAAACAATTTAGCAATTCTTTTGAAGGAATGGTTTATCCAATATGGGGGTCAATGGCTACCGTCAATTGAAAATAACTTATTTTGAGTTTATCAGAAGACTTTTTGACTAAATTATCCCTTTAAGTCATGATGTTATTGTCATTTGTCATTGTCATTGTCGTATTATTCTTAAATGCAGTGCTAATTGCTTGTTTATTCAATTATTTAATATAAAAAAGAAAAATATTCTCTGAAATATGATATTAAAGCCACATGTAGGATATCTCATTTAAGTTTGATTAATAAAGGTATTTATTATAATTTCATTTGTCCCAATTCAGCTTGTCGCAGCACGATTCACTTCATAACAAATGTAAAACGCTAAATAAAAGTCCAAATCTGAATAAGTCTACACTGAACAAGTCAATTTATCAAGTCAACAACTAATCAATTTATAAATACTCAATTTACACTTTTTAAATAATTAAAAAGTATTTGTTGACTCGAGAATACGCTATAAATAATTCAGATCCATGAACAAAATGGTCAGATCAGTTTTGTAAACCAGTTCAACTGATTCATATAAAAGTTCTGATTCCAAAAAAAACTGATTTGTTTAATAATCAACATTGCTACTGTATAGGTTCCCTTGGGGAATTCATGTGTTTATGGC